ATGGACTCTGACGTTGACTTTCGCACATGTCATGTTGTGGTTGATCTACGTGTGAACAGGCACAAAGAAGTACAAATTTTAAATTGCAAACGTGCCACAAATTTTAAACTGCAAACAATGTCATGTTGCATCTTTTTCTGGTTGTTTCCAATATATCGGTTGGTAAGTAAGTGTTTTACGTCAGTTGTGTATTGTAGATGACATATTTTCAAAAATATTTGGCTGACTGACTTTACACACTAAACATGCAGACTTTGATACTAAATAAAAACTACTAAACATCTGTACATGACAGATATACTGGTGTGAAGAAGTATGACATCCTTTACATAAACGAATCCTTGGAAGGGCAACCACATAGGAGATATATAAACAGAAGATATGTGAAGAAGAATTATCCAACCATGTGGGAAACTTTGAAGGGGAGTTGATTGTGTGAATGATACATCAATAAAGAGGAGCTTGGAGCTAAAAAAGCTCCAACCTCCTAGTTGGTGAGAGACCAACGAGAGAAACAAAACCAGAAGGAAAACAATAAGAATGTAACTCCAAGCCCATCCTCACAAAAACGCATATCAGGGCAACCAGATGAAACTCCAAAGCAGCATGAACAAACTTCAGACCATACAGCCAGGCTTCAGACCAAGAGCACAATGCAGCCACAAAAACCATGCCCAACTTCAGACCATGAACAAGATACCACCAGCCACACAACCAAAACAAGCACACAGAGGTGAAACAACAGACCAAATATGCTACCTAGCAGCAACCACCAAAAGACATACAGCAGCAGTTTGGATTTTAATTTGCAGTTAACATCACAAATCTACAGTTTACAGCAGCAGTTTGAACCATTGACAGCAGCTCCAGATTAGTGTAACTGCTGTTTGACCTCCAAGCACTAGCCCAGCAACACCAGAGCTGCAGCAGAGAAGAACCATGACATGCATTGCAGCCCTATAACTTAAGCTACACAACCCAGATCCTACACTTCTGCACTGAATGGATATAACCAAACCAGGAAATCACCTAAAAACATACTGCTGCATCACACTACCAAGTATCACCCCATTTGACTTTGAATTCACACAGATCACAGCAGACACCAGCCAGGAGCCTGATCCATTAGACCTGATCCAAACCTCACAGCACTAGCCACCATTCAGACTTGAGCCTGATCCTTCAACCTCCAAAACTAATAAAAAACTATAACAGCAGACCAACAATTGGAACAAGGCCAGTAGCAGACCTCCAATAACTTTTCCAATCCAGCAGTAGACTTCCAATACAGCACACCAAAACATCATTCTAACAATTATAAAAAGGCCAATATGCAGTAGCAGACTTAAGCCTATTCCTTGATCCCATATAGCAGCAGCAGAGTACATATATAGCAGAACAGAGTTGAAGCACAGCAGAGCAGCAACCAGAAATGAGCATGCTTGATAGCATAAACTAAGGCAGAGCAACAACCCAAAAATAAGGCAAAGCATAGCAAATGGAAGCACAACATAGCAAAATTAGCCACCAAGAAGATCTACTAATACCAGGTATACACCCACTTCCCCTTGCTTCCATCAGCATACCACAGATTGACCAAAATCCTGCACCCTTGCAGTAAAAAACACCAAACACCACCCCCTTAATCAGACTTTGATCCTATCTAGATTATTGACAATGTCCTCCACTGATAGACAATCTCAATTTGCTTAGCCACTCCAACAGGTATTTTGGAAATTGATAGAAAATAGAAAGTATTGATATTCATTCATGAACAAGTCTGCACAATGGTCTGAAAGATAGCACGCATTCTGTGCAATACAAAAGAATACATATATAAACTATTCTAGGATTTAGGGAAGAGAATGGCTAGAACACCCCATTCTGATTGAGCATCTGCCAGCATGGCTTGGCCTTGGTCCAACTCAGCTTTAGTTGTCTGAATTGATGCAGAACGATGTGTAATTTAGGAGAGCATCATCCTTGCTTCTTGATTAAGCTGGTCATGTTGCTGCTGCAGATGAGCCTTTCTTTGCCGGACAGAGGCAAGTTCTACCATGAGTTTGGTTTCCTCAAGTTTAAGTGCTGAGTGTTGCTCAAGAATGGTTGTAGAGGTTTACTGGCTGAGTTTGAGTGAAGTAGATATGGTGTAGGCTTCGTTTAGGAAATCTTTTTTGGTTTGAATATCCTTTGAGCAAGTCTGAACCATCTCTGAAAGGGTTGGCCATTCCGTGATGATCTTGGCCAATTGCTTTAGTTGAATGGGGTTGAAAGGATTAGGGGAGAGGTTTAGAACAGCAAAAAGACAGGCCAAGGTTTCATCAGGTTTGTGGAGAATGATTTCTTCAACTGGGGTGTTAATGAGGTTGATGAAGGTGGTTAAGGTTTGTTGAGTTTCAGCATGAAAGAGATGTAGCCTTTGAGGCAATGGGGATATTTCGTCTAGATGTTGTTGAAGAATAGAAAGTTCGGCCCAAATATCCTGACATGGAACGATGGCCTGTGAACATTAATAGTTTGGTGAGAATATATGCTTGCAAGTAATAAAGAGTAAATAAGATGAGGTTGAAAATGGTAGTAGCTGTCCTGATAACGTGCGCGTAGACGGTTGACCTTGTTTGGCTGTGGTTGTGGCAGCAGGAGGAGTTGTTTCGGGTATTGATGAAATGGCAGCATCAATGCCTTCAGGCTCTTTTTTTGGTTCTGCTAACAGGGGAAAGTCATGAGGACCTTCAAGTTCTTTCGCAGACATTGGTCGTGGAGATGAGTCGTGTATTATGTCCATCCTTGTAAATTGGAGAACAATACCAATTACTTAAAGAGAAGTTTTTTTTTTTTTCAAATGAACAGTCACATTTGTATTTCTATTTACCTTGGTTGTTGTGAACTTCTGGTTGAGGGGATTTTGTATTGTCATCTGTTGGAGAGGATTGGCTGTTGATTGAAATGTCAAAATCAATCCTCTCTGATTCTTTGTTTGAAGTTTGGGAATTGGAGGGGTTGGATGGTGATGGTTGAGGGCTAAAGACAGAAGGGACAATAATAGGCTCAATACCCCCTGGGTAATCAACCTCCATCGGGACAGCCCCAACTGTGACATCCCTGAGAGCAATAGGAGGAGGTTCTAGCTGTGAAGGATTGTGTGGTGCAAATTGTGTAAATTGCTGTGGTGAAGACTGTGAAAGAGGTTGTAAGAAAGTTTGTTGAGATGCTTGAGGTGGTGATGGAGTTGGTTCTGCAGTGGGTTCTCTGGGTACATTGGTGATGGGACTAGGAATTGGATCAATGTGTTGAGGAGAAGTGGAAGGATGTTGTGATGCAGATTGCTGTGGCGAAGATTGTGAAGCAGGTTGTAAGGAAGTTTGTTGAGATGCTTTAGGTGGTGGTGGAGTTGGTTGTACAGTGGGTTCTCTGGGTACATTGCTGATGGGACTGGGAATTGGATGAATGTGTTGCGGAGAAGTGGAATGATCCTCATCATCAACCACAGTAAGGAGTAATCTCTTTCTTTTTCTCTGCACAAAAGTAAGTGATCAGTCTGGCGTGAATGGAAATTGAGATGATGTAAATATATAAAGTGAAGGCATACTTGGTAGAGCTGCCCTGAAGGATTTTATGTTGTTTGGCTAACCATTTGACTGAGAGGGATATCCCAATCACTTAGGTCTGTACTTAGAGCAGGAGTAGCGGAAGGTTCTTCTCTCTTCTTCGCCGTGACCTCTATCTCGACAGGGGTACGGGTGGTAGTTACTCTCTGTGCTTGTGTCTGCGAGGTTGCGAAAGAGTCTGCCATTAATTTCGAAACTGAGGAGGTGTTTGTCTGAGCAGTTGGATCCATTGGAGCCTTGCCTTTATATTGTTCCCTAACCAATGGTTCAGCTGCAGGCCCAATTTTGGCTGTCAAATGTCAAACAAGTTAGTGTTGTAGAGAAAAAAAAAATGCATGACACAGTCAGGGATATGAAGTATATGAAGGAAGGATACCTGTAGCCTTAAGCTTGGAAGGCGAGGATATGGGGCCCTAATTATGAATACAAGTATCGTGAAGGCAGGTTTCAAGTGGTTTACAGAAAATAATGGCATTCATAAGTCCCCACCGATGGTCAAAAGCATTGGAACAGTCCGAAGCAGGTTTGAAGAAGAAGGGGCCAAAATCTTGGAAAAGTTTGGTCTTCTCTGTTAGAATGGATTCAGCTTGCCTAGGATCTTTGAAGTAGATTCTGGACCCAATCTCCTCATGGATGGTTGGGTAGAAATAAGGATAAGGGATACCCTAGGAAAGACCTAATTGCTTGGACCATTGATTGGGACAGTATGTCTCAAAACTGCATTTGGACATCTTGGTAGAGGATATGGAACAGCCAACCAAGACATGTCTAAAGGTGAGAATGTGTCTCCAAGTCTCATTTTGTTCTTGGACTTGCTCATTGTGTAAATCAGAAGGGTCTGTGAAGAGGAAGCGAAGTCTACTAGAGGAGAATTCAAAGTTTTGAAATGGCATGTACAGGTTGGAAGGTCTCTGCGAAGGAAGGTTGTAAAACATGCTAAGATGATTTGTGAAAGTGAGTTTTGAATGGCTGTTATAAGTGAGCAGTTGCTCAGCATAGAAATGGCAAACAGGTTTCAAGGTGTTAGGTGGTGGGGGTCGTGCCTCAGGGAAAGAAAACTGGTTTCAAGGTGTTAGCTTGTGGGGGTTGTGCCTCAGGGAAATAGGCATTCAACCAAGCCTGGAAGAGCCAGAAAGGGCCACCACAGTTACCAGAAATCTTCTTGTCGACAAAGGAAAATAGGGCCATGTAAAGGGTGGCAAGAAGATAAGGGGCTAAAGCCATAAGTTGGCCATCTTGCATACACAAGGCAAGGGGGAGGTATTCCTTCGTGATCTTGTACCCAGGGACACAAAAAAGAAACTCATAAAGCCAGAGTAAGTAAAAAGCAGTTCTTTCTTTGTCCTGGACAGGGGAACCAGGCTTGCCTTTGTATTTTTGGGCAAAATCTATATAGCACATGTCAGTGTTTAAAGTAAAGGTCACTTTTGGAGGCTGAAGGAGAGCATGAATTGGATTGCCCAAGATTGGGAGACCAGTCAAGTGAGCTACATCTAAGATGGTAGAGGAAATCATGCCAAAATTGAGGAGTAGGGAGTTACAAGATTGCGACCAAAAGCATGCAGCAGCAGCAGCAGCAGCAATCAGCCCTTTGTCCATGTCATAATTTTTAGTCGACAATCTAATTGCTTCACTAATGCCTTGGTGCTTCCATACTTCAGCGTCGTGACCTTCAATTCTCCTGGCCCAGCTTCGCTAAACAGAGTCTGGTGACCTCCACGATCTGAGTGGGTTTTTGCTGACATTCTAGTTAATCCACTTAAGTCCAGGTTGGTTGAGAAGAAGGTTCTCACCATTACCAAGGGGATAGTATGGAGCTAGCTCGTCTGGGAAGTAAGCTGTGAAGGTAGGGCCTAGAGTAGCCTTAGCGACAGAGCTTATGCTGGGCAATAGGGTTGCACCAAATTTTAGAGGAGCGATATGTGCTCTGATAGGGTCTGGGAAGCGGAGTAGGTCTTCATTGTTCTCCTCAGATGGAGATGGTTGAGATTTTTTCGGCGCCATGGCTTAGGGTTTTGTGGTGCTCTGGTTTTGAACGACAATACTTGAGAAGAAGGAGTACAGTCTGGGGAGTTCGAATCAGAGGGAAATGAAGTGGTTTGAAGTTGAAAAGGTGGGTCTTTTATAGCTTATGATAGGGCCAGTATATTTAAATGCTCTTATATTGGGCTGTAGTTTATGTTTGTTTTGGGCCCGTATTAAGAAATTTGCTATTGGGCCCAAACAATGGCCCCCTTGTTGAAGTAGAATATCATTTGACTTGGACCCCCACAAGGGGAGCACCCCCATGACCCCCTCTCTCTCTGATTGGCCAGTTTTTAAATTTTTTTTTTTCTTTTTTTTTCCTTCTCCACCAATCACCAGCCTCCACGTGTGTGTGTGTGGAGGAGGTGGGGTGGTGGTGCAGGTGGTGATTGGAGGGGGTCTCAATCACTTCCGCAAGGTTAATTCATATGATATTTAACTTGAACAAGGGGGCCATTGTTTGCACCAAGTTTTGCCAATCTCTGTCGACAGATGGTCCACTTAATTGAGGACACGTGGCCAAGTCTGAAGGAATGTCCACCACTTGAAAGTGGGCTCTTTGCATGTGGGTCACCTAGAAGTGATGGAGGAAGTTTTTAGCACCAGTCATGGAGTTAGTGGGCACACTTTCAGGAGGAAGCATGAGACAAAGCAGGAGCCTCGCTCTGTCGACAGAAGTTTCAAACAGTTGGTGGCCATGAAATAAACACAAGGAAAGGGAGATCGACAGATAGAAGTGGAGGTTTAGCATACTTGGAAAGCCTAGAAGGGAGATCATTGGTTTCGATATCCGTATACTGTTTTTGTGGCCCATCATTGCATGATCCCACACGTCTACACCATAACTGCCATTGTAACTGACTCGTGACTTCGAATCTTCAAGTTCCCTCTGCCAAATATTGACTCTTCCCTGTCGACCTTCCTTTTCACCATTATGAGGGCATTTCCCTCATCATTATGAGTTAGTGGGCACACTTTCAGGAGGAAGCATGAGACAAAGCAAGAGCCTTGCTTTGTTGACAGAAGTTTCAAACAGTTGGTGACCATGAAATAAACACAAGAAAGGGAGATCGACAGATAGAAGTAGAGGTTTAGTATGCTTGGAAAGCCTAGAAGGGAGATCGTTGGTTTCTATATCCGTATACTGTTTTTGTGGCCCATCATTGCATGATCCCACACGTCTACACCATAACTGCCCCTGTAACTGCCCCCTGACTTCGAATCTTTAAGTCCACTCTGCCAAATATTGACTCTTCCCTGTCGACCTTCCTTTTCACCATTGTGGGGCATGTCCCTCATCATTGTGAGACAAAAATCGACAGAATATTGTTCACTAAACACAACCACAATCCTTGCAAACTGGGCCACTGAACCACAACACTTGGCCATTCACTGGTACTGCCCCTGACTTTGAATCATCAAACCCTGCCAAATATTGAATTTTCCCTGTAATTTAATCAAAATATATTCAATGTCGGTAAACTTGAAAATATGTTTGAAATAACCATTTTTTGTATTGTAATGACTTAAACACAACTGTTGTCCTACATTTTACGTAACCAAAATACACAACTTATTTATATGAAAAACAATATATACATCTCGGGTTTATAATCAAAAAAATGGAAACTACTTTTTTTTTAAAAAAAGTTCACTCAGATTTTCAGCTAAATTATGGTTGGTTATTTTTAAAAAATTCCTCTTTGCACCTATTTTCCCCACATCCTGCCAACAGCTGCTCCATTCAATCGAGGACACATGGTAAGTCCACCTGAAGACAAGGGTTATCAACTAACATTGAATCTTGCATGCCACCTGACTTACACGCTGGAGCAGTTACTGGCAGTGCTCGTAGATTTAGTGGCCAGCCTCCAAGAGGAAACATGAACGAATTGGGAGTCTGTATCTGTCGAGGAAAGGCCAAAAGGACTTGGGCACAGGCAGCAACTTCAATTATATGCACAGGTGGCAACTTCAATTATATGCACTTCGACAGGTACAAGTGAAGGTTTTATGTGGTTTCAAGACACGAAAATGACCGTGCAGTTACAGAAGTTGCACAAAAGCAGTTGCAGAATCGGCAGATCATGGGGTCGTGGGAAATAATAGCTATAAAGGGCAGAATGTTTGCAGAGAGAGAGGGCATGAACAACAACACAACAACTTACTTTCTACATTGTAACTTCTGAGTAGTTTTTTCCCTTTTACTTTCTACTTTGTTACAAACAACACAACAACACGACAACTTACTTTCTACTTTCTACTTTGTATTTTGTTACTTTCTACTTTGTTACCATCAGTTCATCGAAAGAAGTCTTCATCCTTTTCAGGCATTCGAACCAATACCACAATTGCTTGATTTTCTTCTTTAACTTGTCAACTTTAAATTACTGCTTCGTTGCTGTCTATATAGGCCCACCATAATTTTACTAACAATAAACCCATCACTTTCATAGTTAACATGAAATAATTTTACAACTCCTGTTCGTAACTCGTAATTCATATAGCAATCGGCATGAAGATAAAGTAACGAGTTCGTTGGCTTACTTTCTCCAAGTAACACCTAAAATTAATTGCCACTTGGATTATATACAAAATGCATGTGCTGGTATGTAATTTTGCAAACCCACATGGACAAAATTTGTATTTCACTCGAAATATAATACTAATTTACCAAAACAAGTCATAACAAATCAATACGAAGCCAAGCACATCGTCAGTTGATAAACCACACCGCAAAAAACCCTTCAGTTAGATCCAACCAAATATGGAACAGAAATAAGCAACCAGCAATAAGAATCTTGGAATACAGACATAAGCCAATTTCCCACCCAAAACAATACACAGACAACCCATATATATCTCACCTTCAATTAGTTTTCAAAATGACAAGTCACTGCAAACAGAAATGACAACATCACTTTAAACAATATGGGAAATTTACAACTCGTGGCCTTGTATATAAGTAACGTTGTGCCATTTCCTAGCATTGTACGTAATCAAATATTTACACGTTACGTACAGCAATCTGTGCAAAATGAAAACTACATACATTATTTACATGTGTTTTCAATAGCTAGTACTATCTACCTAATAAATTAAGGGAATAAGTAAATCATACAAATTATACAATTACCTGATTCACCTCATCAATTGTGGTCGAATCATTTTTGCACACTGCTACTTCAACACTACCGTATTGGCCCACAGGCTGCTTGGAATCAGGAGAAGCATCGAAAAATAGTTGCCGTTGCTTAATGTGCGGTGTACTTGGATCCACCAACCCAGTTTTGCAGCGAACGGGCAGTGACTCCGCATTGTACTCACGATTAGTTATGTGGGTTGTATCTGCATCTGAGTTACTACCCACTGTTCGTCTAAACCGAACCTTAGGACACGTTCGCTTTGTGTGCCCAATGCATTTGAAATTCCCACATTTTCTTGGTCTTCGACAGTTGGACGAGGCCCATCCCGGGTTCCCTTTTGTCTTCATAACATCAGGATCTTCTACTCCAAATTGTCGAGGGAATGAATGTTTCCCTTTGTCTCCATTCCCATCGTTCAGATTCCTCTCATATAACTCTTTCATCCGGCTCGTCATCGGAAGACATGCATCCCTAGCCTCTTTGAAACCTTCCGTTGATTGCGAGGCATAGAAACACATTTCATTGTACGAAGAACTCAATATCCAATACCAGGCATCTGTGTTGTAATGCTATCAATTGTGGGTTGAGGCCAATGCTGGCCATCCTTGCTTGCAGCCCTTGTCCATCTATGCAGCACACAAGTTGGGGGAATTTGCGTTAAATTTTTGACTTTCATAACACATATCATGTGACAGCAAGGTTGCCCCAATGACTCAAACTTCATGCAAGAATATCTCATTGCAGCATCCACTGGACTGTGTGTTACTATCCATGATCTATCCTTCACTTTGTACTTATGAATATAGTAGCATTTCTGACCATCCGGCAAAGGGAACACGTCCTTGACATTCAACTTCCCCTCTTCTAAGATTTCATCACGGAACATTCTAAATATATTTCAGGTGAATAGCTCAACTTTATGTCTCTCTATATGTCGCAATGGAGTAATCAATACCGAAAAAGTGTTATTTGTTTCACCATCATCTCTAGCCTCGTTATACCTTATCCTTGCAAGAGCCCGATCATAGTGCCTAACAAATTCATATAGCTTCAATTTGTGTTGGAGGAAGGGATTGAAATAAGCATTCATACACTCTGAGCGCTAAGTGCTCTTCATCCCAACAAAGAAATGTCCACGCATATATGCCTCA